TAAAGTTAAATGCGGATAGTTGGTAGCACTGTTTATTCTTTTTTTTTTTAATAACCGTTTTATTGAAGAAAAATGGTGTAATATTGTAAAATTGCATAAATGGCTTATGCCGTGAGCCATTCTAAGAAACATACGTACTAGTATCGAACAAGATCACATGTAAACAAATATTCGTAACCTGATATTCGTTGATTATCATATTTCTATATTTCCTTGCCGTATATAACCAGCCAGTAGTGTCCAGTTCTGGCTATTCAGTATTAATCATAATTCGTTTGCATCTAGCGTGTATTTTCGGAAATAAACCACTGGTAAGGCCTACATTATTGGACAACGCGAAACAAAACGCCTTACATCTCCAGCTGGATGTTGATTACACTGTGTGCACTTTACATCTACCGCTTCGAGATCCGGCCTGTGACCTATAATTTAACTGTAGAGGAACTCTTCTCTTTTTGAAGGATTGTTGATATTGCTGTTGTGTCATATGAATCGTTAAAATAATTATTACCATTCATATCACACATTATGGTTTTGTGCGTATATTGTGTGTCTCCTCTAAGCTTACTGATCATATATATTCATCATCATATATATAAATATTTTTACTTAATGCTTACGTTTGCTTATGCCAATCGCGTACATTTTGTAAGCAACGACATATTTTAGCAAGAAATTGCTTCCTACACTGAAGCAGAAGGTTACTCGCTATTTTTCTCGGTAGTCGATGATTTTCCATGAGGAATATTTTAACCAAATATTTTATTTGGAAGCCCACCAGAATTGCGATGATCGTCTGGTGATATATCATGTAGTTGGGCAAATTTGTTGGCAGCTGGAAAAGCCTCGTACTTTAAAAAACAACCACCCCAAGGTATTATTTTTATTTCTTTCTTTATATTTAGATATCCTTTAACTTTTTTCACTTCAATTCAAAAACCACAACTGACGAAGCTAACGTCAAATTCATTGCGCTTGTACAATCATACTTTTCTTATATATGTACATGTAAAAACGTTTTTCACACTGTTGTTCACTGGGATCACATGCGAGAGCTAAAAATTAGCCAGCTTAATGTGAAAACTGTCTAACGTTCAGACATAGCGCATGTTTCTGCCACATAAAGTGGAAATGTGCTATTTGTGTCAGGAAGCATAAAATTTCTCAATGCGCTGACGATTGACCTTATGGCATGCAAATTGGAACCCAATCCATTCTTACGAGAACAGTGCATATCCAACTTGCGGTGTCTATCAGCTAATACAATATCGACTGAACAAAATCTACCCAAAGAGAAAATCCTGAAATAATTCCTTTTCAGTTAGATTTGCTATTGGACAAAATTACTTAATATATCCACTTCCTCATCACAAAGTAGGTGTAAGATCTTTAAGCAATAGTTCGATTCCTGCTAATATTGCAACGATTAATCAACATAACCGATCGCTCGCCTCGCTACTTAAGAGAAATGTTGACGTTGGTACAAAAAATGAAACCGCTAAATTAATATTTGATGTTGTTGATAATTTAAACATGTGTAGTACTAAGGAAGAGTAATTTACCGCTATAACACAATTATCCATCAAATATTTATATTCAAATATTATATATGATTAGATAGTAGCAAGTCCTCAAGTCTTTTTTTGGAATTGTCGCAGCAACGCAATAAATACATTGGATTATCTGATTATTTTATTGCAAGGTTCTAACGTTATTTTACATATCTAAGTTTTTGAATCTTTATTATTTGTCAATTTCGGCTTAAATATTCTTGAGTTGTTAGATATAAAAACGTTTTCAAACCAAAAATAAAAAATTCTGTTCTGTTTTGGAAAATTTTCTAAATATCTATATTAATTAGAGACGGTGTTGATTACGCTTTCTGAAACTTACCTACAATTAGGCAAAGTTCATCATTCAAGTTATACTTATATAGCGCATGGAAGAACAATTCAGAGATGTGGAGAAATAGCTATACAGATCGAAAATCTCTTAACAAACGCTATCAATTACGAACTTATGTAATGAAAACATCAGTCTGTATACTTGTAATAGTGGAGGACAGTGCGCACGGTTTATTAGTGTTTGTTCTCGACAAGCAAGTTTTAAATGAAATTTATTCGGATAATTTACATTGGACTACAACGAAGCCACCACAGCTACGCCAACTCTATGCCGCATCTGAGCATGTACACAACTATATTAATTTAATATCATAAAGTCTCATCTAAATTGAACTCCCTTGTTAGAGACCATATGGTTATTTCTGCGATAATGATACTAGACTTAATGTCAGTGTATGTTTCGAAGGTGGACTGCGTAATAACGTCGTGTCGTCGTCTTGTTTAAAAAAATCTCCAAGTTTGGATGCCATGGAAACCATAGGTTTAAAATATATTTTCGATGATATACTCCGATTTGTCGCTGGCATTATTGTCACGTATAAAACTTCCTTATTTTTCAAATATGTGGAAATCGGCTGAAGCTATTGCTAATTTAGTCAAAGCGCCCGATGATGTCAACAGCCATCGGCCTATTGAGCTCGCTAAGCAAAAATACTTGGACGCGTT